CATCCATTTTCTTCCGCTTATCCGGGGTCGGGTCGCAGGGGTAGCAGCCTAAGTTGGGAGGCCCAGACTTCCCTCTCCTCAGCCACTTGGGCCAGCTCTTCCGGGGGAATCCTGAGGCGTTCCCAGGCCAGCCGAGAAACATAGTCCCTCCAGCATGTCCTGGGTCTTCCTCTGGGCCTCCTTCCAGTGGGACGTGTCCAGAACACCTCACCAGGGAGGCGTCCATGAGGCCTCCTGAACAGATGCCCAAGCCACCTCAACTGGCTCCTCTCGATGTGGAGAAGCAGCGGCTATACTCTGAGTCTCTCCCGGATGATCGAGCTTCTCACCCTATCTCTAAGGGAGAGCCCAGACACCCTGCGGAAAAAAATCATTTTGGCCGCTTGTATCCGAGATCTCATTCTTTCGGTCACAACCCAAAGCTCGTGACCATAGATGAAGGTAGGAACGTAGATCGATCGGTAAATTGAGAGCTTCGCCTTTTGACTCAGCTCTCTCTTCACCACGACAGACCTGTACAGTGCCTGCTTCACTGCAGATGCTACACCTATCTGCCTATCGATCTCACGCTCCATTTTTCCCTCATTCGTGAACAAGACCCCAAGATACTTGAACTCCTCCACTTGGGGTAGGACCTCCTCCCTGACCCAGAGAGGGCACTCTACCCTTTTTCCGGCTCAAGACCATGGCCTCGGATTTGGAGGAACTGATCTTCATCTGTAATGAGTTACAACAACATTTAATTTCCCTTTTGGATTAATAAAGTATTTTTGAATTGAATTGAATTACCTGGGGGTCTCTTGTATTTCTTCCTGTGCAATGGTTCAACCCTGACAGCAGAATCATTTTAGAATGTTCGGACTAATACCAGAACCCAGCAGGTTGTCAGTTCCTCGTGGAACTTGCCCCCAAGGACCATCAGCGACTCTGCAAGGTAATGCTCTCCTACTGTGGCCACCTCCAATGACCTCTGGGAGAGGATGGTGGTCATTCAAGACTTTGTGGTTAAGTTTATTCAGCGACCTGATCTGATCAACGTACCGGGGATGTGGGAGCTCTTTGACGAGGCAGTGAAGGAGAAATGTAGGCTGCACTCCCTTCTCCTGCCGCCCATCACTCAAGTCATCCTTGCCTTCCTTTCGAGTCATCTGTGAGTGAGAATCACCCTTCAGATCCTCTTAACCTCCCTCTTCGTGTCTGCCGCAAGAGTAGCCGATGACAGAACCAGATTGAATCCGCCAACTAGAGCCCTTCCTTCCACCTGAGTCTTCCCAGACGTAGATGGGAGAGCGGGGGAAATTTTCACAGGCCGGTGGGGAGGGGGGGCAGCCAAGCCCTCACTCACTGGGAGAGTGGCCGAGCTCATGCTCAAAGACGAAGCAGCCAAGTCCTGAGAAGCCGAGTCCTGCTCAGCCGAAGAAACAGTGAGTTCTTTTCAGCCATAGAAGCAGCTAAACTCATCTTCCTGTGTCTCCACGGGGTTTGACCATGATGCTTCACACTTTTGTGTCTCCGTGAGCATTGGGGACTACAACCCACACTCCTGTATTTACGTGGGCGTCGGGTACGATGACCCTGTTCCTCCGTGCCTCTCCATGAGTGTCAGAGACAGCGACCACTGCTCTGCACTTCCTGCTGCAGTCCCACCGGTTTCACTGCCTGCTGGAGACCCACCAGTCTCCTCACCTGCCACAGATCTGCTGGTCCCATCTCCAGCCGCAGATCTGCTGGTCCCATCTCCAGCCGCAGTTCTGCTGGACCATCTCCAGCCGCAGTTCTGCTGGTCCCATCTTCAGCCGCAGTTCTGCTGGTCCCATCTCCAGCCACAGTTCTGCTGGTCCCATCTTCAG